CAACAGACGCTGTTGATTTCTAATTTTGCTTCCCCCATTTACTGAAGATTGCTGCTGAATTAATCACAAAAAATATAATTTTCTGCGAAATTACATCAATATGTTTGTTATGCCTGGAGCGTCCGTTCGTTCCGCACGATCGAAAAGCGAAATTAAGTTTACAGTTAACATTATGAGAAGTCTCACTTCACAACTTCTGTAACTATCGAGGTAGAATTTCGATCATTTAATTCAGAGCACGACACAGAAATGTCCAACCATACGTTGGACGTCCAACCATACGTTTCAATGTATTTTTACTGAATTCGGAATTTTTTTCAGAATAATATTTCGAACAAAATCAATTGAAACATACAGTTTGTGCGTCACGATTATTATTCTCATATTTCAGATGTCAGGAATGTGAGATGGTCAACAACAAATGCAGCATTTATGCAAAGATATACATTTCATGGCAGAAATAAAAACGGACAGAAACTGGTCTGAGTCGCATGTTTTGTTGGGAAATGTTTTCTGTTGTTACCGCTACACGAACATTTTTCATCAAGCCTTCACTAAACCAGGGGTTCCCAATTTGACTTGGCCCTGGCACCCTTATTTAACATTTTTTTTGTCGAAATCCTAGCTGGTTTTCATGTCTTCTCTAGCCAAAGCGTTCCCAATTTCATTTGGTCTTGATAACCTTAACCTTTTTTTTTTTTGTCGGAACCCTAGCTGGTTTTCATGCCTTCTCTAAACCAGGGGTTCCTAATTTTATTTTCCCTTGGTACCATTATTTAACCTTTCTTTTTTGTCCGAACCTTAGCTGGTTTTCATGCCTTCTCTAGACCAGGGGTTACTAATTTTATTTTCCCTTGGTACCCTTATTTAACCTTTCTTTTTTTTGTCCGAACCCTACCTGGTTCTTATGCCTTCTCTAAACCAGGGGTTCCCAATTTTATTTGGCCTTGATACCCTTATTTACCCTTTCTTTCTTTGTCGGAACCCTAACTGGTTTTATGTCTTCTCTAGACCAGGGGTTGCCAATTTCATTTGGCCCTGGTACCCTTATTTAACCTTTCTTTTTTTGTCCGAACCTTAGCTGGTTTTCATGCCTTCTCTAAACCAGGGGTTCCCAATTTTATTTGGCCTTGGTACCCTTATTTACCCTTTATTTCTTTGTCGCAACCCTAACTGGTTTTATGCCTTCTCTAGACCTGGGGTTGCCAATTTCATTTGGCCATGGTACCCTTATTTAACTTTTCTTTTTTTGTCGAAACCCTAGCTGGTTTTCATGCCTTCTCTAGACAAATTTTATTTGGTCTTGGTACCCTTAGTTAACCTTTCTTTTTTTGTCGGAACCCTAGCTGGTTTTCATGCCTTCTCTTGACCTTTTTTTTTGGCCATGGTACCCTTATTTAACCTTTCTTTTTTTGTCGGAACCCTAGCTGGTTTTCATGCCTTCTCTTGACCAATTTTATTTGGTCTTGGTCCCCTTATTTAACCTTTCTTTTTTGTCGGAACCCTAGCTGGTTTTCATGCCTTCTCTTGACCAATTTTATTTGGCCTTGGTACCTTTATTTAACCTTTCTTTTTTGTCGGAACCCTAGCTGGTTTTCATGCCTTCTCTTGACCAATTTTATTTGGCCTTGGTACCCTTATTTAACCTTTCTTTTTTGTCGGAACCCTAGCTGGTTTTCATGCCTTCTCTTGACCAATTTTATTTGGCCATGGTACCCTTATTTAACCTTTCTTTTTTGTCGGAACCCTTGCTGGTTTTCATGCCTTCTCTTGACCAATTTTATTTGGCCTTGGTACCCTTATTTAACCTTTCTTTTTATTTGTCGGAACCCTTGCTGGTTTTCGTGCCTTCTCTAGACCTGGGGTTCCCGATTTCACTTGGCCCTTTCTTTTTTTGTCGGAATCCTAGATGGTTTTCCTGCCTTCTCTAGACCAGGGGTTCCTAATTTTATTTGGCCTTGATACCCGTATTTAACCTTTCTTTTTTTCAATTATGGTATAGAGACAAAATTAATTTGTCTTTCAATTATATTTATGATGTTGACGTAACATAATTTAGATCTTTCTGACCTATTTCTTATACACCTCATCGCGTTTCTGAAATTACTTCAGAAACACTTCAAAATATACATCCACGGAAAGATCCAATGTTTTTGAGGCAAGTTTTTCTCGAATACTGAGGAAACATGGAGGGCAACAACTATGAATAAGGGGAGTAGACTATCGTTACCAGATAATTTTGGAGCGGAGTACAATTGAAAATAAAGTAAGTCAATTATTCTGTGGTGATTTATGAAGTAATGGGTATTTTATTTTGATAATAAAATGACAGTAGACTAATCTCTTCTCTCAAATTTCGGCTATCAATACTTTTTTCCTAGATAAATATTTCGATGAAACTATTAAACCGTCTTTTTTTAAACTGTCGTCAATCAATTTTCTTGTCACATACATTAATCCCAATAAAGTTATCTAAACACAATAATCTACCAAACGAATGGACCAATAATATCAATAAACGTATTGAAAACTGAACTGAATTGATTGATTAGAATCTAGGACATGAATAAAGAAAGTAAAACGTTCATTGTATAGACTGTCCTACTACAAAAAATTAACGAACCATTTTCCTGAGGTAGATATCACGAGTTGGTATAATTTACTTTCAAATTGGACAATTAACCTGAAATTTCGCCACACAGCTTGTAATTTTAGCATATTTCATCATTATATGAGCGATATATATCTTTTTAGATCATTTTAATAAAATTGAAACCGGAACTTGTAGAATTAAAATGCCGGTGATTATCTTTGTTGAGACGAATAAACTCATGATTTTGATTAAGCTAATATGATACAGGATTATTAGCTTTATTCCACAAAATGAAATTTCAAGTCTTTGAAAACTCGCTGGGGACCAGATCTGGAGAATACGGTGGATGCGGAAGCAACTCAAAGCCCAATTAATGCAATTTTGCCACCGTTTTCATTGATTTGTGACACGCTGCATTTCCTTGATGAAACAGCTCTTTCTTTTTCTTCAAATGGAGCCGTTTTTCGGCGATTTCGTTCTTCAAACGCTCCAATAACGCTATATAATAGTCGCTGTTGATAGTTTTACCCTTTCAAGGAGAGAAACAACAATAGGAATCACACGTTAAAAAGTAAGACCTCATTAGTCCTTAGCTCGCACAAGTCTCGATTTTTGAGAGTTGTCATTCGTGGGGGGGCAACAGCAACGGAAAAACACATTTAATAGATTTTTTCAACATTTGACGTTTTCACGATTTTTTACAGACTCAGTATCAAATGACTTATTTGGGGTGACTCATTTCAACCGGATTGTATTGTATGAGATGAGATACAATAGCAGATTATATCAAGTTCGTAAAAAGCTGAACATGGAAGTAGCTTTCAAACCAGCTTGTTCATTTCAACAAGTAGGTAACTCTAAAGACGAGATGGTGGCAATTAGCTACGAGGATTGCAAAAAAGTATATTGGTCGAAGTAAACAAGCTATTAAAACCCGTTTAAATGAACACTCTACAAATTTCAAAGACCAAATGATTCAATAATCAAATATTTTTAATAAAAGGTTTACTGAACACGATACCAGCCTTAAAACAAAGAAATATCTTCATGATATTGTCTAATATTGTGAAACCTTATCTGTTTGATGAACTTTATCCTCGATTCATCCAATTTATTTGAAAAACATTCTCACAATTCCGAAAAGTGAATAATTTTGACTACCTGTTAGATTCAACTACTTCAATTTCAAATGGGCAGATTCTGAACTTACAGTTTAATGTACAATTACATGGTAACACCTAAGGTGAGTTCAGTTGTAACAAAATGAAATGTAGAATACTTTTGAACCTAAAAATAGAAATACAATTTGATTTTATAAAGTTATAGGCAAAAGCAGCTCACCAAGAATATTCAATTGTAAACCGGAGCAACTAATTCAGATGAATCAAGCTTAATCAAATAAAGATCCCTTGGAAATTATTTTAAATTGATAACTACACACACTCAGTACACTTTGCCACTTCTTTATTAATGTTTTTGAAAAGACTAATCTGATAGGAGATAGCAAAATAATTAAATAATCACACAATGAGGTTAATCTTCAATGAGGTATTGATTCCATAGTAGTTATAAAAATTTCTATAATATTGAAATAAAACCGCAATACCTGCTGTCATGAAGGTTGAGTTATATTATGAAAAACATTTACTTATCTATGAAATAAGAGAGCAGGTGAAATATTCAATGATAATAAAGTCGAAAACGTACTGCCATACCTGAATGAGAAAAAAATGATTTTCCAAATTAACCCAGTAATAAACTTTGTAATGGGTAGTCTTCATAGAAGCGTTTGGAAGATTCAAAAATTGGGATGGCTTAATTAGAAATCCACTGAATCCAGGCACTAGTACAACATATAAATGTTTGTTAAAATGTAGTTTTGGTTCTTGTAGAATGTTTCGAGATTTTAACGAATGTTAATGTATTTGAAACGTAATTGAAGATAAATGAATGACCTGTAGAGTACTAAGATATTGTAACACTAAAATATTCTGTTGTGTTAGACAAAAAAAAAGTTCAATTCTCATATTTTTTTTTAAATTCTAATCTAATTTTTTGATTAGCTTATTCGAATGCTTCAGTGTTTCAAATCTGTCAAAAATCTTTAAAAAACACAAGTCTGACAAACCTAACATTCTACATCTAACAAGAGTTTCCAATTCAATTAGAATTAGGAAAAACTATATTTTGATAAATCTGGATATTTTTATTGAATCTATACCACAATTATTCCATTTTGAAAATAGGTGGTGAGAGAAAGGTTTCTTAAATGGTTTTCTTACAAATTAACATATGGAAATCCCATCAAACAGTAATGTGATGCTTAAAGCTGTTTTCAAACCACAAGTACATGATAATGAGCTTTTCGTAGGTCATGTCTAAATAATATAATATTTTGAAAACTCACCTGAAGTTTGCCTTATTCTCTTGTACCAAAAACTAAAAAAATAATTTCCTTCAGAGGGAAAGCAAATGTAACAGGTCAGGGAAATAGAGCATTCCTTTCACTTTAGATTTTATAGTGTTGAGTTTGCTTTTACTGCTTGATATAGTTCAGTTTCATTAGATCGCAATGAATAAAAAAAAATAGTTTCATTAACTAGTTTCGGTAAATCGCACAGTTAATACATAACACTTCCCAACTTCTTTGTCAAATACAAATGCCGAATGCCAGTAATGCCACTATTGCCACATTCAATCTGAATCAGACTGAAGTCAGTGCTGCTCCAAGGCAAAAAAAATTTGTACGAAAATGACAGATGAAAATGTATGCTTTTCGCTATATTTGTATAGCATCAATCGTCGCCAACACTGTCATTAGAATAATTGACAAGTGACAGCTTCCCACATGATGCAAAGATGGAATAAAGCGATTCGCGCTTGCGCAGGCACTCCATCGTATGTGAATATTTTGAAGTAGTTATTGGAAATATATTGATTTGATTACTATTTGCATTAATATTAATTGAAAATTTTGCATTCACTAATCTAGCTTTAGCTTATATTATGTATCAAATCAAATGACAACACAAAGTCTCCTAAAACAAAAATCAAGAGGAGTGAGGTGAACTACCAGCTACCATTCATATATATTTATTTAAAATTCGTCATTTCTATAGAGCATTCCTTTCACTTTAGATTTTATAGTGTTGAGTTTGCTTTTACTGCTTGATATAGTTCAGTTTCATTAGATCGCAATGAATAAAAAAAATAGTTTCATTAACTAGTTTCGGTAAATCGCACAGTTAATACATAACACTTCCCAACTTCTTTGTCAAATACAAATGCCTAATGCCAGTAATGCCACTATTGCCACATTCAATCTGAATCAGACTGAAGTTCATAAGTCAGCATTTTGCGTGTGATCAAACTAAGGAAAGAAAGATTCGAGTTAACTCGTGTCTAATCGGTGAATGTGTATATCTGTATTTAAGGACAGTAGAAGGGAACAGGACAGAAGACACTCTCGTATAACTATAACTCGTTTTCTCAAATCGTAACCTTCGAAACCGTAAGATAAAGTATCCAGGTCCAGAAGGACACCTTGTGCACTAGATGTAAAAAAGTGAAAACGGATCATGACAAAAAACATAATAAATCAGTGAAATGGGGATTTAATTGATTCATTTTATACTTACCTGTCCTTGTCTCAAAAATATTTTGGTACACTAACGCCACCTTAATGTGATTCTTGAGGGACGCTTTTTTATGTCTTCTTAAACTTTCAACATTGAGAATGAGAAGGAAGTTGGCTGTCCAAAATACAGCTAGCCAACAGTTTTGGTTGCCTAACCGACAATTTGAAAGAAACTACCTAATAGACTAATATTTCTGTGCGAACTGTTCAAATATAATTTCATGAGATCAGTTTTTATTCAAGCAACATACTTGAATATGAACATGCTTGAGGAAGCTATTGATTAATTAAACACTATTCAGTGAAAATCTCACAATAATTGAGTAGTTTTGTTGTGGTTTTTTAACAACAATTCCATCAAGTATCAGTACTTGAATTGAAAGGATTGTTACTTTTCAACAACAATAAAAAATCATTTATGAGGACTTATCATATGGGTGATCCAAAAAAAATTGCTGAAATATTATTAACTTACTGTGTTGAGAGTTCAATTCGCTAAAAGAACAAATATTCAAAATAAAATTTAAACATTGACCTCTCACTGCTAACATACATGGTAAGCGTTAGTAGATGCCTTCTTTCCATGTTTAATTACACATTGTGGATCTCAATCTAAACACTTTTAACACACCAGAACAAAAATACTGTCTCTAGATACGGGTTTCGCTAGCCAAAACAGCATAATCAGGAAATGATAGACTTTATCATTTCCTGATGACGCTAACTCTGTTAGCGCGTTGAGAGAGTTTTTGTTTTGTATTGAGAAAAATGTTTTCTTTACATTAATTTTACCCAACAGGTTTTAAATGTGCCTATCAAAATACAGATCTCAGTATTAGCACTGAAGGACAGATCATACCAAGACAGCACTTTAGCTGTCTATATAAAATCCATAGGACGATTGCTAACGGCTTAATGTTGTTGAAATTTAAGTTGAAACCATAGTAGGAAACTGTGAAAAGGTCAGTTAGATGGATTCTTTATTTTCCAAAATTTTCCACATTTCTTTCTTTCATCTTCTTTATAATACAATTGATGGCATTGGAAAAAATGTATGAATACTCTTACAACTGATCTAACATGGAGAAGAGTTAGGATTATAATGAAACAGGTTTGGTACCTAAACTTGTGAAAACAAAGCAATGGAAAAAATATCGCTGAAAGCTGTAAAACATATATTTTCCATTACATAAAATCTTTTATATGTTGTGAGTTTCAAATTATCTCACTCCGTGTCCTTGAACAAGTCTTATACTGACATCAACAGGCGAACTTCGTTCTTGTGAGACATCCATTTCGATTTCATCCTCTTCTTCTTCATCATGCGTTTCAGATTCATCATCGTCATCATTATCGTCTTCATCATCCTCTTCTTCATCCTCTTCCATATTCTATTAAAAATGGAAAACCGTTGACAACTCAAAGGCAAACAAAAACTTTGGAATTCATATGAATGAACTTGAATAAAACACTATTGTTGACTCACATTCAAACAACCAAATGTGCTAATCTGAAAATTATCATAGCGGATTCATTGAAACCAACTTGCAAGTCAAGAATAGTGTTTTCACAGTCCTTGCACTTAATGGACATTTATTAATATTTTGGAGAGCTTCTACCTCTGATGCTGTTTTTCCAATAGGTACCAAATCAGAATTTCTGTGAATTATTTGTTGCAGACTATTTTGATGTTCCCTTTCCAGTTGGGAAACTTCATCTTCATCATCGCAGGGTTGATCAACGTCAAACCAGGACGAGTGCATCAATCGCGGCTTCAAATCCGGAAACAAGGGAATACTCATCTTTTATTATACACAAATTTCGAAGCTATAATTTAAATATGACAGTAAACAGCTGATATGAAAATAAAATGACAGGTGGAGGCACAGAACTCGTAAGTTTATCTGATATCTTATGACACAGAACACATTTACAAAAGACACACTCGTCCTGGAAGGTCTCGCAAGTTGCTCACAGAATCCGTGGTCGCGACTTGATTGCCGTGTTATGGAGAGCAACACTATCGACTGATGTTTCACACAGTATGAACAGTGTCATCAAGATGCATAAGAAACCGTGTTTTACTAAGTTGTTTTCGTTATGTAAAATTATGTCGACGACATAAAGAGATTAACCCAACTTTGTGCCCATGTTGATAGATAGTTCAAGAGTGGAATTCTCCAACATTGGTTGCGTCTAAGGAGAAAATTCTTGCGCTGAATGCAGCTTTGAAGTGCTTCATATACCACTTTGATTTTATCCAGCGACTGAGTTCAGCAATTACCTATTGTTTATATACCACATTCAGCGGTAAACTAGCTTCAACCTGTTCCATGTTTTGATATTCCCAAATAGTCAGATGCACCTATATTTTATCGGAATATATCAAAGTTGTGTCATCCACAAATACTCTGACACTTCGATTAGTTTGGTTTCATTATACCCGTTTATTGTTTGTTAGAACAAGCCCCATTTATATAATAGGAAATTTATTTTCCTTCAATTATTTCAGAACTCCGGAAATGTTTATAAAACCTGCAATATTTTTTTTGTTCCAAAAAAAAAGGATAACATGGTTTATATTTATATTTTGAAAATAAATATTTTTTTCATTTCATATACTTACAGTATTTACGTCTAATGTCTCCTCCTATAGTCTCTTTTGATCTTATATTTTATGTTCTCTGAAGTAATTAACATTGAAAAACTTTTAAATTGGTCCTAATGGATTACTTTGAATCAAAATTGTCATAGGCCATATTTTTATGGTCCTCTAGTGTTGCTTCAAATTATATACATGACATCCATATCCATATCAATATAAGTAAAAGATGACACATAAAACTTTTGTGATCCCATAAATTTAGACAAACATTGTTGCAACTTGAGCATTTTTGGATTCCACAAATTTTTCATCAAATTTTCTACACAATGCTTCGGCGGTACATATACTAAAATTGGAACGACACAGAGAAGATTAGCATGGCCCCTGCGCAAGGATGACACGCAAAATCGTGAAGCGTTCCACATTTTTCGACCAATTGAGTTTGTGTCAATGCTTAGATTATTTTACAAGAGAAGAAACTTTGGATGGAATTGAAAAACCGACGTGTTCGAAATGCAAAAACTTTACAATTTCGATATTGGGATTTCCAGATTAAAAATATTACCTTGCATCACTGGTCAGTTGATAATTGACAACTGACAGATTTTGGATTATTTTCATGTATAGATTAGTGTATACTTGTGGTATAGACATAATATTTGATAAAGTTTCTGAAAACACAAGTCAAAATAATCAATTTCTAGTATGGAAGTCAAATGGATAACTGTAAATACCAAGTTGGAGGGTTTTCATATGTACTACTATATTGTTAACTGTTTCATGTTTCAGGTTGTTGAATGGTGTTCAACTCATAAATTCCCTTACAACAAAGACCTTACAGTTACTTCTTACTCATATTTCAAATTCAAAAACTGAAAACCCCTTCACTGATGAAGAATTGGAAAAGCTCAGAACTTCACTCAAACTTAATGAAGACTCTTTGCAATTACTAGTTCAGGCAATATCTCATATTTTCAAGCAGTCATGTAAAGTTATGATGAAACCTTCGATACTGCAAAAACAGTTGATAGAACATCTTGGCTTCAATACCGAAAAAGCTGAGGAGTTTGTCAAAATTTGGTCAAACAATCATGCGTTTCAGATTCATCATCATCATCATTATCGTCTTCATCATCCTCTTCTTCATCCTCTTCCATATTCTATTAAAAATGTAAAACCGTTAACAACTCAAAGGCAAACAAAAACTTTGGAATTCATATGAATGAACTTGAATAAAACACTATTGTTGACTCACATTCAAACAACCAAATGTGCTAAAAGTATATATTTATTTTGGAAGTCATTACAATAAAGTGCCTATTCATATAACTCAAAGTCTATCCTATTTGATGTATAGAATTTAGAATCATCTCCACACTTTCTAACCATTACACCAGTTTTGAAATATTTCTCTTTGGACCATTTGGTCATTTGAGAAGTAGGGTAAGGTCCGTGTATTTCTTCATCTTCTATTTTCCATTTGAACTCCCACATCAACTCCCCAGATTGATCGTTAGAATCATTTTGTTCACCTTTTTTTGAAGTATCGTCGAATTTCTCCTTTTCCTTGACCTCAAAATCATCAGAATACATATCAAGTTCAGGTTCTCTTACTCTGGAGTTACTTTTCTTTTCATTTTTATCTAGTTTTGCTTTTATGCCTTCGTAAGTTTCTTGATAAATGTCCATGTTACCAAGTTTGGTGAGGATTTTATTGGCAAGCTCTGTTAAATTGGTAACATCTTTATTGTCGTTCAAAGTACCTGCTTTTTTACGTTTCAGTCGTTCTACACTAGATAACTTCATATCAGCGCCTGCCAACCTCTTTATTGCTTTATTAATGGTTTCCTTAGGTTTCAAATAAGACAATATACTTTCATAAGATTTCATTTCATCGAAATTGTCGTCTTCAGGCTCAGAGTCACTTTCAAGCACTAGGTCCTGTTCGTCAACATTATACTTCTGTTTAGTATCACTTGAACTCTTTATTTTATGCCAGTCGATGTTATCCAACCAGTTGTCTCGAACTTCTTTTTCATTATTCCAAATGAAATGACCTTCTTTATCAAAATGACCATCTTCCATTTCTTCATTCATATTGAATGCAGTCATTACTTGTTCCCCTTCTTTTCTAGCTATACCTTCTTCTTCACCTTCAATATCATCAACATTAAGAACATTGTCTTCATCAACTTCATCCTCTTCATCACTATCCAGAGTATGTTTCTTAATTTGTTGACGTCTGTTTTCTACAGGAAATTTCGATTCATTATCGAGAAATGCCTTTTGGAAATTTCGTTTAGACATTTCAAGCGATTTTGTATGTTTTTGAACCTCAAATTTTCTACAGTTATCTGTTCACAACGTATCAGATCAGTGAATATAAGAACTCTCTCTTCTTATTTTTCCATTAATGGCTTCAGCTGCCAGGGCTATCCAGTCAGGAGTTCTAGGATCATGTTGCTACTACAGGTGGAGCCTACACTGAAGTGGATCTGAGTTGGACACAAACCCCACCTGGGTTTGCGCTAAAACAAAGTTCAACTGTAATTTGAAGTCAGTTAACAAGCAATGTCCGACTGCAATAGAGTGGAAGCACTAATGTGAGGTGATGCACTATGGTTACGTGTATGGAAACTACGATCAGGTCATGATTGGCGAAGCACTGCATGCAACAAAGTATTAGGTCTGTCTTGATCACTACAGCTTTATATTGAAGAACTCTCTCTTCTATGGCAATTGCTTCTCAATCGAGCGCATTTGGCCTGTTCATGGTGAACAGGAGGAGCAGTACGTAGCAATACTACCTCTAATCATGTTTATATCTTTCAATAAATTGATGGATGTAGCTGTTACTACGTGTGAGAGATCATGAAAAGTGAAAAATAAAACTCTGGTTTTTTACTACTTGTATTTGTAACTTTATTATATTCGTTTGAAAATGTTCTTATAGGACGAAGCTGCAGTAACATCAGTTACAAATACAAGTGGTAAAAAAACTAAGAAAGTTTTATTTTTCATGATATTCATATGAAATGAAACCTTATATTCAATTTATTGGCCTCAACTTCCTTTATCGGTGCTATATGACCAACTCTCTTCTCGTTTTGTGATAAAAACTTAGGAACGTGCATAATTCCATAAATTTTCTATACATGACCATCACTAGAATAAATAATAAATATGATTTTGCAAGTTTTCACAAAACATCTTCCACAGTTTATATACAATTAATTTATACATATCCATATCAACATAAAGTAGCAGCATTCAAACGTATTCTACAAACACTTTATTGTGAAATTTTCACCAAACAATTTTACAATAAAGCAAACTTTACAATTTCGATATTGGGATTTCCAGATTAATTCATAGGAGGAAGTGAAATTAAGATTTTTTTTTCCTTTTTCAAACTGGGACTCCTGTTCCATAACGAGTGCAATGTGAGTTTTCAGTCAAAAGGCAAGTTTTTGAATTCATCGGTGCGTTCACTGATTGAATCATTTATTGGTCATCTTTTTGAAATGTTAGCATGCTAACACTTGATAAACATTTGATGCAACCAAAAGGTTTTTTCGGTAAATCAAATATTTGGACGGAAATTTTGTGGTTAGACTATGCGAACGTACTGCCACAGAACGTGTTAGTGTTTCATGAACAAAAGGAACGGGATCAGAAGTCGGAAGAACTGAGGAACTGAAGAAGACAGAAAAACCATTAACCTAAGATTCTATTCTTTGATTATACATTTTTATTTTGAATTTCGGCAAGGGTAAAAATGCCACCCTTCAAGAGACTTAATACAAAGATCTATCACAAGAATGGACCTGAAATAACTGATGATAACATCTACTGGAAAAAACTTGGGGTTAGTAATTGTTTCAATTCTATGAAAATCAATTAACAGTTTTTTTTTTTTCAGGTTCCTGTCTTGGTGAAAGAATTTGGTCCTATAGATTATATTGACTTCTCTCCGATTGAACCTCATTACTTTGCAGTGACATGTTCAGTACGTGTACAAGTGTACAACCCCATTACAAGATTAGTTGTGAAAAATTTATCGAGGTTCAGAGAAAATGCTTATGGAGCCGTGTTCAGATCAGACGGAAGACTAATTTGCGCTGGTGGTGAAGAATCAAATGTTAGATTGTTTGATGTGTCTACAAAAAGCTTATTGAGGTAATGTAAATAACTATTAAATAGAGGTAAAATCCAACAAACGAGTAGGGTAGATGAGAAGTGATGGAATGCACAGTAGCAACTTTTATCGGTAGAATCTTGTGAATGAAGTATATGGACAACACATATTACTTTGTTGAAATCGTTATTACCATCCAGGGTTAATTTATACGGACCCTGAATGTTGTTCTGGGTGTTTCTCTTGCATACGTAATTTTAGCTGTTCTAGCGATTTTTGTTGGAGATGAAAAAAACATCATGATGTGTTGAAACTAGTTGCCAATGGTTACGTTAGAGCTATAAGCTATTCAACTTCAAGCATATTTCGATAAATTGTAATCAGCTTGTAAAAATATCTTTTGGACTATAAATTTCATCAACTTCTTAATTCTTATCAGAAACTATGTTGAAAACAATGTGTACTTAGATATTTGTAATGAATTACTAAACTGACAGAAATTTGGATAATATAACCTGGGAAGTAGAGCAGTTAACATCTTACAGATATTGACAATAGAATAGAAAGAGTTTAACTGATATGACTGCCTCCCTCCAAGGAGTTTGGTATGATCTCAGTTTAAAATTCTTGGAAGAATGAACTTTTTATATATCATATAATCAGAAATGATTAAAACTGTTGTGCCCTGATGAAGTTTGTTAGCGAAATGCGTATCCAGAGATGGTACTTTTATTTCAGTGTGGAAAATGTGTTTTTATTAGGTTTGTTTGTGTGTATGAATAAAATGATTGATTGGTATGTTTTAAATCATTTCAAATTTTCACCTTGTATGTATTTTTTTAAATAAACTTGTACTCTGTGATTCTATATTGTTGAAGATTATTATTATTCTGTTTGTAGTGATAGTATTTATTTGGTATTGATTTCAGATTGTTCAAAGGACACACGGCTCCAGTCCATCGGACACATTTTCTGCATGGAAAGCCACAGATAAGTTCATTTTCTGATGACAAGTCTGTTAGACTTTGGGATATTCCTACAGAAAAAACAATAATGACATATAATTCCCACACTGATTATGTGAGAGCTGGAGCAACCTGCCTAGCTGTTCCTGACATGTTAATATCTGGGGGATATGATAACAAAGTTAAAATGTATGATACTCGCACTGAAAATGAGGTTCTTACTGTTGATCATGGAAGTCCAATCGAGTCATTACTGTTTTTACCATCTGGAGGTATTTTCTTATCAGCTGGAGGTACAGAGATAAAAATTTGGGATACCATAGCGGGCGGTAAGCTGCTGGGAAGCATATCGCAGCACCATAAAACGATTACTTGTTTACGATTAGCTTCCGATAATAAACGATTGCTGTCTGGCAGTCTTGATCGACATGTTAAAATTTATGATGTCGCCACATTCAAGACTGTGCATACGTTAGATTTCCCTAATTCTATTCTCAGTTTAGGGGTTTCTAAAAATGATGATACAGTTGTGGCGGGATTAGTAGACGGTATGGTTTCAGTAAGTAGGAGAGAAGAAAAAGAAGTGAAGAAACCTCAAAAGAAAATGGCTTCCTATCAGTATGTTTCGAATACTCATCCAGTGAGCGTCGATACAATCGTTGCTGATCAAACAAACGATATTGAAACAAAATATGATCACCATTTGAGGAAATTTGAATTCTCCAAAGCCCTTGATAGTGTTCTTTTACCCTATGTAGCAACCAAAAACCCACAAATCACTGTGTCTCTCATGCAAGAGCTCATTAGGAGGAAAGCCTTGCATAAAGCTTACAAAGGAAGAGACAAAAAGTCTCTGACACAAATCCTGAGATTTTTTATTCGTAATATCGCCGACCATCGTTTCACACGTGTTCTCATTGATGCTGCAAATATCTTTCTTGATACTTATGAAGACAGTATTTCAGTGTTGCCTCCAGAAGTTGGTAAATTATTTGTCGACTTGACTCAGGTTATTAAACAGGAATTAGAGGTGTTGGACAGTTTAGCATCACTGCAAGGGATGATGAGTATGCTTCTTGCTAGTCAGGTTACTGTTGATGAGACAAGTGAATTCAATAAAAAAGGACATAACCTTTTGCCAAGTGCTGATGCCCAGAAGAATTTGGTTTTAACAATATCGTAAGGGTTTTCTTGTTTAGGATTTTTTGGAATTTTTAATAAACTGTTGTAAATAGCTGTTATTTGTTTCATTTTATAACCACTAAATACTATTTTATGCTATTACATTCCTCATAAACATGTTTAGGCTAAGGTTATGTGAATAGTGGACCGATTCTTTGTTAACTTTCTTCATTTCTCGAAAGTTGACTGCCTTATTTGATTAAGTTGCAGAAACGACTCTTCTTGTGATGGAGTTGGCCGATACTTGATGAAAATTAAAAACGAATCAAAGAAAAACCCCCGAAAAAAGGTTTTCAAATGTTTAATCATTGCCTTCACTGATAATGTTTCAAGTATTTATTGATTCGCCGCACTAATAATGTTTCAAGTATTTAATTGTTGGCTGCACCGATGTTTGAACCCTGGGTAATGTTAAGAACTTCCCGAGCCACCTAGGGAGTGTCGAACTCGCGCCCTTTCGATCCTCAGTCGGGCGCACTACCACTGCGCAAATTCACCGCTTGAATGTTATTTAAAATTAGATATATTAATAGTAAGTGAAATATTGTTTTTTTGTCTATGCATAAATTAAAGATCTGAACAAAATATCAGCCACATATTTGATTTTTGCACCTTCTATGAACAAGTGTACAATGTTGAGCAAATAGCATTTTGTTCATATATCATCTATATCTGGGGTCCCTTTAAATGAATGTACATTCATACATCCTATAACTATTAGTACTTCACCTAAAATAATGAAAGCATTGGTTATTGACATTGTGGCGTATTTTATTGTAATAACAATACATATAAATGATTGTGAATGATTTTCATTATCATAGATTGAACAATATAAACTTCACATGCACTAGTGATTTAGAGAGTATGTGACCATATATATTATAGGTGATCTCGCTTGTGTTTACGCAGTTATTTTTATCAAGTAGTGTTCTTGATTTTTCCATATTTTTTTCCTTCGAAGACCACCTGCCTGGTACTGATGTTTGTATGTTTTTCAGGTTATATTATAATACCTATCAAACAATAATTAGACAGCGTTTTTTTTAATATAACATGTCAACTATCAGTGCTGCCTCTTGAAAGTCTTGAATTTGACAAACACGTACACTCAAAAGGGCCCTGTAAACGATCAAATTATTTGTCAAATATTCGTTTGACAAACGTGTTTGTCAAATTTTTTGAAAGTGTGCGAGCTTGTTTGACGTGTTTGTCAAACAATGTAAATGTTTGACCTGTTTGATGGAAATTTTGATTGACGGTGTGTTTGGCAAACCTGTTTGATAGTGTGCAATGGTGTTTGTCAAATAAGATCTCAGTTATTGCCTTGATACCATGGAGAACACAACTGCGACAATCAGATTTAAACAGTATGTGACCATATATATTATAGGTGATCTCGCTTGTGTTTACTCAGTTATTTTTATCAAGTAGTGTTCTTGATTTTCCATATTTTTTTCCTTCGAAGACCGCCTGCCTGGTACTGATGATGACGAAACGTCGTGAAAAAACTACCAGTGAGGACCAGAACACGGATCAATATCTGAAAAACATAATATGTTTTTCAGGTTATATTATAATACCTATTAAACAATAATTAGACAGTGTTTTTTTTAATATAACATGTCAACTATCAGTGCTGCCTCTTGAAAGTCTTGAATTTGACAAACACGTACACTCATACAGGAATGGTCAAATGCTAATTTAACGTAGCTGGAACTATTTAACACTTTTAAGTTGGTAATACCACAACACTGACAGTGATAGAGATAGAGTGAGTGACTGACTGACACAATGAATGAATACTTTGGAGTTGTTTATTGATAGTTTTCAAAATGCAATATTCAATGACAAATAGGAATTTCTAATGTAAATAAACTCCACTCGTGAAATTTAATTGAACTGATGAGTAAAAAGTTACATAGATAATGTCTAAAACTCGTTTGAAACCAGTTTTTGGAGATTTACCTACATGCTACATATCACAAAGATTAGAAGAAAGGAAGAACAGAATAAAAGCCCTGAAGCTTGAACAGAGTCGAAAAACTGATAAACCTGAAGACTTCATAACTTATGAAGACAGTGATAGTGATGATGAACCACCTTCTGTTCAGAATGAAATATTAAATACTTCCTACAATTTTGTGGACTATGTAAGGAATAGGGAAATTGGAAACACTAAATCGAGTTCAGTGAGCAAAGACTATGGCAGTCGGCACATTGTATCACATGAGATGTTTCGAGAGACTCCAATAAGTTTAGGAAAAATGAATAAGGTGTTCTGTTCTCAGTGGTTAAGTGATAGACAGGTTGTCTTTGGAACTAAATGTAATAAGGTGAGGTCTTGCAGAGTTCAGTTTATGAAGTGAATATATGCACATTTGATTAGCAAGTAACAAGATTCAATTGGCAAGGAGCAAGTAACCAAAAGGATGACATTTATGCATTCTCAAGGGAAAAGTCACAAAAAAAGTATGCAGAATGACATTCTGTTTAAGTTTGCTTGGGTACCCGGGTAAGAACAAAGCTGTGGTACAATAATTGAATGGAAGCAAAAGCCAGACATATAGAGAGAGTGAGCAAAAATAGTAAGCAAACATATAGGCTGTTATTGGAAAAAACAAAATTTGTAATATTGTCTATTGTTTATCTAATATTGTGTAGTTTTCAACACAGCATCATCAATTTGCATTTCAGTAATTATAGAAACAAATTATTCAAGAAACGAAACTAAACACAACATGGCTTAGAATGCTTCGAAATTTGAAAATCATCAGGTTAGGTTTCCCCAAAATTTCTAGTGTCTTTGTTGTGAAATGGGCCTATCAGCGATCATTTGCGTACTAGAGAGTACTAGTAAAAAATTTTGTATAATTAAAGCAAAAAAGTTGACAGCCAAATTTTACTTGTACTTTCAAGTTGTTACATGCTATTTGCTAATCAAGTGTGCATAAATTCACCAATAATCAAACATGGAGAAGGGACTATCTATATTTGATTTTAATGTAATAATTGACATTCAATCAAGTTAACCAGGGCTCAGATATTTATTCATGTGTTCGTTTGTGTTGTTCAAATAGATATTTTTTTAAATCCGCCTCTTTAAACTGATTTTTTTTCAGCTCATGATATACGATGTTACGACCCGAAAAATTGACCAAATACCATCATTATTGAGTAAAAGAAATATGACGGGAACCTATGACCCATCTCAACAGTGCGGTATTCATTCTATACAAATAAATCCTTCTAGGACTCTTCTAGCAACAGGTGCTAGAAATACTTGTGATATAGCAATTTATAGGCTACCGACTTTAGATCCTGTATGTGTTGGAGAAAATGCACATAAAGATTGGGTGAGAATGTCATACTCCAATATTAATTATTGACTGATTCATGCTATGGTCTCGAATCTGAAATTCAAGTCTTGAAAATTCATTTTGTTCGAAATGTGTTATGGCTGAACATTTGTAAGAATGTTTTCATTGAAAATCAATGACCAGATTCTTACAATTTGTGACTTGTTACCTAAAATGGGTTCAAGAATTCACCTCAAGTTTTCTGTAACATCTTGAACCTAGCGATTTTATTTTTCAAATTTATTTTGTATTCAGGTATTTGATATGTGTTGGTTGGATGACGAGTTTTTGGTTTCTGGATCAAGAGATACAAAAATGGCTTTGTGGAGAGTTACACCAGATGTGCTTGAAGCTGTAGATGAAATACCACGTCATCGTCATGTGCAGGCGATTTCAGTTAAAGAATGTCGAAGTGCTCAAAAGGTAATGTATTTTTCAATTCCTGAGTGGCCAGTCTCATGACCAGTCTTCACAATTGTTAAATGGCTTGGTGATCATCACCCTGAGACTTTGAATGGGGATATATCATTTGAATAGACATACATCATTTGAAAGGCAATTTTATAAAAAATTCATTCATATCACTGTTTACTACATACATTTTCATTTGTTTGTTCTCTTCTGGTAAGATGAACCAAAAAATTGAAAATCTTTCATAATTTAAACTACATTAATTTACAGTAGATACTCCATCATCTGCCATATATGAGTATAAGTCAGTTTACGAAGGGAGATACATTACAAAGAATAGTTTCGCAGATGTTTCTCGTTCATCTAGCAGCAGGACCACGCTGAAATCAATCAAGTGCCGTTTGAAAAAATGGTGTGCTCAAATCCAAGTCACAAACAGACATTGTTTGGCTTGGGGACTCATTATTAGTCATTGCAAATGCCAATCTAGTTGGAAACTGCACACGTTTAAAATAAATTGGCACATCTGTATGAACTTGCCATCTGAAATGCTGGCTTCGACAACGTTTTTCATTAATTTTTCAATGACTAATCGTGTGCCGTTGTACAGCCGTGGTGGAATCAAATCAGCTTCGGTGGCATCGCAAACTATTTACGCTCGATGGATAAACAATAATAGTCCCTGAAAATTGTGTAGGAAGTAAAAGAAGGCTTATTGTGTGAGAGAGACCGGCTTCGTTCTTATTTTAACTCCGTACTGTTTAATGAGGTAGCGAGAGATATCATCGGCAAACGCAATACAGTCAAAGGGGGACATGTAAGCAAAAATATCGTTGACGTAAATTATAAATAGTAGGCCCAATACTGAGCCCTGCGACACACCACATGTAATAGGTTTCATGTCAGAAATATTATTTGAATCAAGTACAGCACATTGCTGACTATTTGAAAGATATGATGAGAAAAGATGAAAAGGTAACCCTAGTATACCGTATGTCTCCAGTTTCTCCATGAGTATTGAATGTGAGACCCAGTCAAAAGCTTTGGTCAGGTCATGATGTGTCCCCTTTCTCAAAACCTTCTATTATGTTGTCCACCACTTTTTCAGAGCATGAGCTGTAGATGATGATTTTATAAACCCGAATTGGTTTGGGTTAAATAACTTGTGCTTTGAGAAGTCTTCGTAGAGTCTATTTTTTTGAATGATCTCGAAGATCTTGCCAAGACTAGGGACAATTGAAATCGATCGGTAATTACCAATTTCATTCTCATTACCTTTCTTGAAGAAGGGGGTGACTCAATATATTTTGAATTTTCCCAGAATTTACCTTCTACAATGGAAGCATTGAAAAGATTTGTTTGAGGTTCAATCAAATATGTTTCTGTTTTATAATTTTTGCATTGATGTCATATATATCAAAAGAATTGAGTTTTTTAGGTGAAGAATTGCATTAGTTTTTGGACTATCAATGTCAAATACGAAAGGTGTATTAGAAATCGAGTTTGTTCTTGATATTTCTTCCATTATTTCAGAACCAACATTTGCAAAGTATGAGTTGAATCTATTAGATGTAAGTTTATAGATTTTAATATGAACTATATGCAATTTGCTAAGATGTATCTTATGATTATAAAGTGTAGTTTATTTTTTTATTCATTTTATTATATTTACATGTATCACATAATTTAATGAGAATTGTTAGTCTCAAGGTATCTTGATGACATCCTTATTTTTATGAATTTTGTAAATTGAATCTTCTAAAAAAGAGCACCTCTTGGCCAGCATTCAGATTCACATAATCTTTGACAAGAAATGTAAAGGCAAATATAAGTTCATTGTTAATAACATCTGTTATAAGGGATGTCTCTTCATTATAAATGAATATGATGAAAAAGTTTAACTTGGTATGTTGACTTCTCCAGATCCGTGCATTAACGTTCAACAAACAATACGACGAATTAGCAGCTATCAGTCTGAATTCATACATTCATATCTGGAATGTAGAAACTTTCAAGCAGAAACTGTCCAGGAAGCTACCTTCGGCACAGGAAAATGTCTGTTTAGCAGTTCAAGACTCTGGACTTTATGCTATTGGCTGTAGATCGTATACTCTTCTACTCGATTGTAGAACTCTACAGGTAAAGTATTTGCTCAACTTAATTTCAGATCAATTCACCGCTTGTTGATTCTTTCAGACGGTGAAAAAGATTCCCTCCAGATTTACCGGCTGTGGAATCAGGTCCGCTAGTTTTCAGAGTGACATACTTACTGTTGGTACAGGCCTTGGAATTCTGATGTTCTACGACCTTAAAGCTGGAAAATACCTTGAATCTAGCATTAATTCATCAAGGCTAGTTGTTTTGAAAGCTAGTAAAGGTTTTGTGGTGAGCATATTTTCTAATAATAAAAATAATGATTTTATTAAGCATTTTCGGTACTTAATATACATGTGGTAAGTCAATAATTATAGTACATAATACGAGAGTGACTTAAAAAGTTTCCGACCTAACTAAGATACAACGGCTACTTTAGGCTTGCTCATACTAAATAAATCTTACCTAAACTTATTAATAATTCTGTTTAAGAAAGCTTTTGTATAGTGAAACACGTGTCACAATTTTGTAAACCTTTTATAGTGATAATCAAAATGAAGCTTATTAGTACGTTTTGATATGGATTTTCATCAAGTATTGCCAGTTCTTTTATCATCAGCGGTTTACTGTTTGATGTTACCTTTTGTTGAAAACACTAGTGGTCTCAAGGGTAAAAATGGTTTCCTAAGTTTAATAGATGACATAATAGACTACCATGATCAGAAATGGTCCTTGTGCAATATGGTTGAAGAGAGAATTTCATGTTCTACCAAATGTTCTAAGAAAATATACAGGGCTTCCTCACATCAGATCTGTTACACTCTTAACAGTTTGTTGTAGATTCATTATATGCCAGGAATTCTAGTTTTACCTTTCCAATACATCAAATAAAATCAAAATATGCTTTATTACCCAAGATCTGAACANAGGGGCAGATTCTCTGCCGCTGCCATATTTAGGAAGATAAAGAAAAATTCAAAGAGTTCATATTCCTGGGTCTAATAGTTTTGCGAGATACTTTATTATAATAATAGCATTGGACGTTGAAAGGTCTCTTCCAAAACCCGACTGTTCTGTATTATACTGAGCAATCTTCAAATTAATCGATCATTTTTTATTTTCAGTTACCTGATGAGGAGTATGTGGACAACATTCAACACATAAAGTATGTGCCAGCAATATATACACACTGTTACGACACAAGTGGTACGAGACTATTCACTGCTGGAGGTCCCCTTCCTGCTACTCTTACTGGCAACTATGCAGGGTTGTGGCAGTAGACGTTCAAATAGTATTCATGAAAAAATTTGAGTATATTTGCGGTGGGCGACCATTCATATTTCGATATATATTAGAAGCTAAAATGTTATAATCAACACTATTATT